CCTAAACATTCAGGTTATATGTTCTAAGTACATTCCTGGACCTTATACATGACCTTTGACCTCTGAACACAGGATGCTGACAAATAAACAAAGAGGAGAAACTCAGCACAGTTGTAGACAGACACAAACCTCCCCTGAGGACACAACTATTTCTTCCTGGCATAGCTTACTAGATAAGATAATTACATCCAGAACTTGCTTACACAAAATTTCAGTAAAAGAAGCAGGAGCTAACTTAATCAGATTAAAGGACTAAAATACCACATTATGCAAATTTATCCATCAACATTAACACCTCTGTAATTGTGTATAACAAGATAATATGTGTGTCATATAAAACTTTTATTGAAAATCTATACTGTAGTCAATTAAAATTCATAACACAGAACGTACCCTGGTCTAATGTTTTTATCAATAGACCTTGAAGATAGCCTTTGAATGTAACCATGTATCATTTGTTAGAAAGCTGGCGCTGTGATTATTCCGTGCGTTGGTTGGAAGGCAAGGTTATTGCTATTCTAGTCACATCTTGAGACAGGATTAGAAACGTATCCATCTTCTGCAGAATTCCCCCGCACGTAGTCATTATCCAGGCCCTTCCTCCGCGGCATACATGAAAATCTATTGCTGCACAATACAAGGTGGCCTAACAAAAGGCACTCAGTTATCCTAACAATGGGTACTTTCCCTGGATATTTCAGGAGGAATAGAGGCAAAATGACACCAAAGCCAACGGCGTGAGTGAAGAATTATCCCTATCTATTACATGGGGACTTTATGACCCAACTTCAAGCTTTGGGAATTGTAGACGTACAAAAGAACCAGCCAAGACCTTACAATTTCAACCTGGGAATAGGGTAGATTTTTTCTTATCATCCGTCATACCCAATGTGAAAAGATTCAGTCTGTAATATTTCTCCTTTTCTGTTTGAGTGCTTTGAATTAGAATAAATTCTAACAATGAAGAATATGGTCAAGCAGCTTTAGTTAATAACTCAAGCCTCCCCTTGCTATACATAAAATACTCATTGAATTTGGAAATTGGTTTAAAAAACCAGTACTCAACACTGACAACAGCTACCAGGACAGATAATTGTTCCTTGCATTGGTTGCAAAATATATTGTGTCTGAATTCTAGTAGTACTAGTAGCAAATATTATTTTCATGGATGATTTAAACAAATTATGTCAATGTTGTTTCTTTGAGAGTGTTTTGAAATGAACAAGAAAAACATTTAGTGCTCCTATCTTTACAAAACAAACCTCCAGAAACACAGAGTAATGTCTGAGCTCAGTAGTGAAAGTACAATACGTCAACAAAAGATTCATGAATATGCATCATAACTATTTGTACATAAGCTGTTCCTAATTACAGAAACAACTGTTTTCCTGCATGAGGGGGTCAAGCATGAATGGCTAAAACAGTAAACAGAGGAACTGTAGCAGCTGCCCCCTTCCCTCTGTCCCTTTTGCTGGAAGTAGGAAATAATGGAATGCTGATTCTGATTCCAGACTGTGTGTGCACAGAACTGGTTGCACACAGAAAACAACACCCCTCATTCACAGTAGACTGACAGTCTCTTCAATTGTAGGGACCATTGACGATTACAGGCACTGCACAAGAAACAAAATCACTTCTTTTACTCAACCCATGTTTTAGTCAGGCCTTAATAATTTTGCCATTTTGAGTAAATTGTAACATTAGAAAGATGTTTCCAATACAGTTACTTACATGGTCATAAAGGTTTCTCTCATGAAATGAAAACCAAAATTGAAATTCACAGAATATTGGGTATCAATTTCGCCGTCTCTGTTATAGTCTTTGTAATTTCTTTTCCCGATCTTATTTCTGCTCGGAGAAAGATTGGAGTTGACAGAACATCTGATTTCCACGGCCAATAATGGCCATTCACGTCAGTTTTACTCCCGCGGTGTTCACCAAATCACCAGTGTTGGGCCCCACCAGTGCGTAAAAATACATACAAGCCCCGCATTAGCATCGTTGGGTAAAACGGTACGTATTTAGCTTTAAGCGTCGGCAGTTTGCAACGAGGTCCCCGCTAAAGCCCACGTTTCCATCTTTCATCTGGTACCCTATGTAAACAAGGGAGCTACAAAACCCAGGGCAGATAAATTATCATACCAATTGTTGCTAGCAGATTTGCGTGGTGAATGGGGTGAGGCCTGGGCTGGAGTGAAAAGAAGCGAGGTCGCCGCCCTGTATAGCCGCCATTATTACCTCCGCTCGAATACCAAAAACAAAACATATCTTGGGAAGAACATACTGTTCAATACCTGTTTCTGTTATCTTCATCATTTTTTTCTGATTCATGTGTTATCAACCAGAAATATAGTGGGTTGTACCATGGTGATTTTACTTCCTGACCATTCCTTACAATTTTTTCTTGACTATCACAATTTCTTCATTGTTTTGCTGCAAAATTCCACATAGTGACATAGGGAAAACAACAATAATTTTTACAAATGACAACAATTTCCAATTTACTCCAGTCCGAGGGGTCGGATGTTTTATCATTATGTGTGACAAACCTAAGTATAAATGTGTATTTTACAGAAAAAAATATAAATCACTTTTTTTGGTAATTGAACATTACAGAAGATTAATTTTTTCAGTAAATAGTGAGTGAAGAAAACTCTCTTGCTCGGACACAAGATATTCTCTGCTTCAGTTTCCTAGAATCGATCACGCTGGACACGCTAACAAACAATAGCTAGCCAGGCAGGCAAACTACACCCAATCAACATACCAATGCCAGGATTACACACATTGGGTTGATCCTCCCCACTGAAGCCAATGAATCGTGTGTGGAGCATACATAAACACAACTGGTACGGCCAGCACTGGTGTTACTAGGACTCACTATTTAGTACATAGACAGCACTCACCGAGGGGGGCCGTTTTGTTAAAGGGACGTCACCCGTCCATAAGTTCAATTCTCCCGACAAATGTCAACCAAAATAGCACCTTGGGCAGTCCCTGGTCTTCAACATGTAATCAAATTGTGAGGGTTAATTATAGTAGGAATGCGGTGTGCGGCCAAACTGATCCTGATCCCTGATACAAAACTGGGGACGTCTTTTGAGAAACTGAGTTTTGCACAAAACAGAGTCTAAAACGAGGCGTGAAAGCAACAATGTAGACCCTGTTCATACCAGACTTATATTTAGCGGTTTCAACCGGTTTTTCAAAAACCGGTTTTTATTTAACCTGGTGTGAACGCAAATTAACCGGTTTTTTAGGGGTTTAAATCCGATTTTGAAAAACCACCTCGAGAGGTGGTTTTTGAGGGGTTTTTGTGGGGTTTTTCCACCGAAAAACCTGGTCTGAACGCTAAGGGTTTATTGAACCGGTTTTTGCGTCATAATTCCGGGGTCACGTGGTCAGCATCCTGACCGTGTGCGACCTGCAAGCTTTTTTGATCGCGTTGTTTTGACCAACTTGAGTTAGTTTCCACTGTTTTTCCATGGTTTCTCTTCATTTTGCGATGGAATCAGCGCTAGCATATGCAACCTGGTCGGCGGACGAGACGCTCCTGATACTTAGGTTTGGAGAGCAGGAGTCGCCGAATTCAAAAAAGCTGGGGGGGG